TCCCACCAGTGATATGTAGAAGGACAATGAATTGTAATGAGGTCCTACTTCTGATGGTCACAGCCTCACTCATAGGTAGGACAGGACAGGAAATAACATCCTGCTGCACCCTGTTGGAGAGCAAAACAGACCTACATTGCACAGGGTACCTACCTGGCTGCTAAGGCAGCTTGGGAAATAGAGGGGCAATTATGAGTTCTTTTACTATGGCTGCATCTATATTGTAGAAGTCATGCAGTTTGACACCACTTGAACTGCCCTGACACAATGCTGTGGAATCCTGGACTTTGTAGTTTTATTTAGCCTTCTCTGCTTTTTTTTTTTTTTTTTTTTTGGTCGTGTCAGTAATGACTTGAGAAACTGCAAGTAGCTTCTGGTGTGAGAGAACTGGCCATCTGCAAGGACATTGCCCAGGGGATGTCTGGATGTTTTGATGTTTTACCACCCTTGTGGRAGGCTTCTCTCATGTCCCCGCATGGAGCTGATGGAGGGAGCCTATCCGCACTCTCCCTGGATTCGAACCTCCGACCTGTCGGTCTTCAGTCCTGCCGGCACAGGGATTTAATCCACTGCGTCACCAGGGACCCCTAGCATTCTCTGCTAAAAAGGGTGCTAGTGCCTCACCAAACTAGAAATCCCATAGCATTGAGCTAGGGCAGTGAAAACTATGTCAAATTGCATGACTTCTACAATGTAGAGCCAGCCTATTTAAGAAGTCACAATATATGATCCATCATATTTTTCCTATTGACTTTATATTGACTTACTTGAAACCAAATTTCATCTTAAGGACTATGTTTTAGTATTTCAAATGCTATACGTTTTAGAGAGATGGGAAATCAAGGCTTTCTGTTGAATGTTTTGTTAGTAGGAAAAACACAAGCAACATGTTTCAACACATGGAAATATAACTTGGTGGTTTATGAATCAGAAGGGCAGATTTTCAAGGATGAACATCTGTTGGTTAGGTAGATATCCCGGGAACACTCTGAAAAAGCATGAAACCTACCTCATGAAAAAGTCCTCATTTGTTCCTTCTAAAGGTCATTTCTGACGTACTCTGATACCGAGAAATCTCAAGTCACTATTCCGCCCATTAAACCCACTTTATCCCCATCTGTGAGTTATTTTTTGAATGGAACCCAAAATGAGATTATCGGAGCTTTTCTGCCTGTTCCCCACTGTCATTACACATCCACTCGGAAGAGAGTGAAGTCCCTCAAGAAAGACATGAGAAGGGCATAGAGAAGGGCACTATTGAAGTGGGAGTGGGAGACTCTGCAGGGCCACTCTATCCAAACCACTTAGTGGAAGACCCAATGCATCCTATCAGCTGTGGTCATCACTGTTATCCTTTCTACTGAACCATTGGCATCATAATGTCTCAAAGACTACTGTAGGCAAAAAGAAATGTATTCAAGGCCCAGACCTGACAGCCTAATAAATGTTATGAATAGTAATGTTCTTAGTTGATTTGAGGATGGGAAGGTTTGATACAAAAGAGAAGTAGTACACTTTTGAACGAGTAAGTTTGAAAAAGTGATGGGATATCCAGGTAGATATACCTAATGCAGAGCTGGACAAAGAGGAAGACGCCTTGAATCAAGAGAGATCTGAATGTCATCACAAACCAGGACCTAATCCCTCTTCCTAAATCCCTGACTTTTAAATGTGTGTGTATGTGTCAGGAACGACTTGAGATTACTGCAAATTGCTTCTGGTGAGAGAGAATTGGCCGTCTGCAAGGACATTGCCCAGGGGATGCCTGGATGTTTTACCATCCTGTAGGATGCTTCTCTCATGTTCCCGTATGACAAGCTGGAGCTGACAGATGGGAGCTCATCCCACTCCCCGAATTTGAACTGCTGACCTTTCAGTCAGCAGTCCTACCAGCACAAGGGTTTAACCCACTGTGCTACGGGGGACTCCTAAATCCCTGATGAATCCAGTTAACCTAGAAAATAAAGTGATCAGTTTGTTCCAGGAAAAAAAATCCTTCTTTTCCATGCACACACACACACACACATATATGAGTTGTGACACAAAATCAGAAAGAACAGGAACAGAAGTTGGGTTGTCATGGCCTTTAGAGGGATTATACCGGCCTTAACACCATCTTCTTTTGGATGTGGATATGTTTCTTTTCACAAACTGACAGTTTTTGTCACGCTGGATGTTTCACCCCAGCACAGTAGTCTAACTGATTATGTTCTGTCTGTTGTGTTTCTAATGTATTTGGTTTTTATAATGTTTTAATGAAAATGAGTGGTTATCTTATTTTATTATTGTTAAAGACTAATCTTTGGTTGTCTTTAACTGTTATGAGAAGGGCAGAGTAGAAATTTAATAAATAAATATCACTTTGCTATGTGTACACTTTGCTAGGTTTTATACCCTTCTCATATCCTACTTTCAGAACTATATCCATTGTGAAGGTTTAGTGGAGATTCTCATACTACTGTTTCTCTGAATGAGTTAACAAAGCAGAGTAATGATTTCAGTGATTTCTTATATACAGCTTTTTCCACCATCTGATGTTTGCTTTACAGTATCTGTTATCAATGAATTTGATATCCATGGCTTCACTTACCAACACTCCAAAAATATCCCCCCTATCAGGGGTGCCAGAGGGAGGGTCGCTCTATGTGTGCTTTCAGTGTGCTTCTATGATACGCTTCTGGTCTAAAAGTTCACAATTATTAATGGTTTCAAGTATTCAGGAGAGTGTGTTAGGAATGTACCCCTCATGGATACAGAGGCCAAACTGTACATGACAAATAAGTCATCCAAACAAAGTAGCAGCCATTCCTGGCATCAACAGCATTTTTTTTCATGACGACTCCAAAAAGCTAAGTGTTCCTTGTGTGTTTCCACACAGTTGTGCAAATTGCAAAATTGTTCCCTCCTTTTTGTCTTGTCTCCCAGATAATTTTCAGTTGCTGAAAGTGACCAAAGCCATTGTGGCAATAAACACCCCTATGGTTCACAATCCATGATGACCCTAAACTTCCTGCAGCCATCTAATTAACAAATGAAGTACTATATATATGTAATCACAAAATATACACATACACAATTCTTTGTGCAGGAAACAAGGTCCATTTTATCACCCTGTTCATAGCAGCATGTTGCAGAACGCATGAAGGAGTAAGATACCATGGCTAGCTGCTTTTTTCCCCTCTCTTTTTTGGAGTTTTGTAAAGATTTAGAGACTTTGTGCAAAATTAGGAGAAGTTAACAACTGCTGTTTGGTGACATTTGAAGGATGACTAGGGTCCAGAAAATCAGTTCAATTTTTTAAATGGGTGTATGGTTTTTGGAGGTTTCTCTCTCGATTCAGGGCCTTTTCATAGAACCTGTATAGCATGCAACACGATTTCAGAGTCAATTGACAGGCGAGAGTGTGACATGAGTCTTTGCTGGCAGTGGGGCAGGAATCTAGCTTTCAGACCCAGGGGTAGGCAGAAGCTAAATCTGGTTTCACTTGGTGATCTGAATTATCTGCAGCAAACTAGCAAGGATTTCTGACAATGAACTGTGCAAAAATAGCATGAACAAATATTCTTTCTTGGCTTGTCCAAGTTCCCAAGTTATGCTGCTGAAATGAGGAAAGCTTGGAGACAATCAGAAATTGAAAGTAGTGTAGACAGGCAGCACCTTCTAGCACTCAATTCCTAGGCTTGCAATTCTTTGATTGCACGTGTATCTTTAAGATTCTTACCAAAATCAATACTCATCGTGCAGACTTGGTCTAGTGTGTTTGAGCCTTCTCTAGAATTTTGGGGGGGGGGGGGGGGGGAGTAATAGGTTATGAACTTTCATGGACTTTATCCCACACTGCCTTCCCCACCCCAGTTTTGAAACACTTAGAATGCATTGAGGGTACAATTTATAACAGAGCCCACTTCTGTCTGCTGAAGAAAACACCCAAAAAAACATGTAGGATAGGAGCTGTCAAATTTGCCTGGGTTGTATCGCTTCTGTGAGTTGAGTATGTTGAGTAAGGGGCATTGCTATGGGCAGTCTGCTACCAAGCATTGACATTTCTCCCCCAAAATCCTGCTTCATGAGCTTTGCACGGTAATTTTTTAAAGTCAGGTTTCCCCTCAAGTGATGTCTAGTTTAGGATCAGTTTAGGATCAGCTGCTTGGGTCTATTGCAGGGTTGCTGCATTGGAGAGAAAGGTCAGGTTTCCTTCCAAGTGCTGTCAGCTGCTCAGATCTATTACAGAGTAGCTGGATGGTAGGGAAAAGTCAGATTTCCCCTTAAGTGGATGTGGTTTAAGATCAGCTGCTTCAGTCTACTCTACAGTAGTGGAATACAAGGGGAAAGTCAACTATCCCATAAGCTTTTCACCCAAAGGTTTTTGCTTGTTAAAATGGAGTGGGTGGGAGGACTAGACTGACTTGTGTGATAAATCTGAAACCTAAAGAGCAAGCTAAGACAACGTGTGAAGAGGAATGAGAAATGGAAGGATGTCCTTTACAATGCTATAGGACAGTGGTTCTCAACCTGTGGGTGCCCAGGTGTTTTAGCCTACAGCTCCCAGAAATCCCAGCCAGTTTATGAGCTGTTAGGATTTCTGGGGTGTGAAGGCCAAAATATCTGGGGACCCACAGGTTGAGAAGCACTGCTATAGGACATAATGCCATGACAATATAATGCTTCCCCACTCTGCCCACCCTCCACCACCACCATCACCACCGTGGGATGGATCAAGAGAAATGTAAAAAAAATATTAGTTTCATTTAAATTGGTTTTTTTTTTTGGTAAAATAAAACGAATTCTTTTCTACACTTATCACTGAAATTGTATTGTCTAATTCATGAACAGAAATAAAAGAGAATACAAAAATTCTAATAGATATGATTGGTATATTTGAAAGCAATCTTCATATTCCTCCTTGAAGCTGAGCATCATTTCCATCCATTATAGTGTATCTTTTCATGCAGAAGATTTATAAATCCACATCTTAAACACAAAATAAATGAGACAGGTGATTATGCATACTGCTATATTTTGTTCTTAGAAGAAATGTTAAATCATATTTAACTGATTATCTCTATGGGTGAAGTAAAGAAGACATAAAAGAGCAGAGTATTTTTCTCAGAAAAGTCAAGATTTTACACAGTGTTGCTACAAAATCAGACAAAATAAAACTTCTTTCGGTTCCTTCTGTTGTCCCGTCATTGAGGCCTCAAGATTTATGATAGTAGCAGGTACTGCAGTGGCAATCCGTGTGATTCTCTATTTTTGTGTTTTCATGAGATGGAATAGTAGCCTTAAGGAAAATAAGCAGATATCATAAAATTATGTTCAGCTTTACTGCAACAACAAAAGCAGCACAGAGTAACTCATGCTACGCTCAAGTAGGATTACTACCGAGTACATTTGAAGAGACTTGTTAATGTGAGACAAGCATTTTATGGATAAGTGGTAAAATAGTTCACCTAGGCTAATGGTGGGGCACCTGAGGGTTATGGGCCACATTTCAATCTTCCTCAACCTAGACTCAGGCCATTTTAGCCTCTAGATAGTTAGGCTTGTGGGAATGTAAACTCCATATTCTTATGAAAGACTCTTTAGATGGTAAATGTGTCTTCTTGCTTTTGCTACTGAATGAGATCCTGAACTTCTGCTCAAAAAAGTCCCGAGTAAGCATCTGATAATTGGCTTTTAAATACACTATCTTAGAAATCATAAGGAAAGAGGATGGTCTCATGTTATGAGATTCAGGTTCAGCTTTTCACCAAATGCCTAAAGTGTTTTAAAGCAAAATAAAATGGAAAGACAAAATGTCTGTTACAAGTAAATAGCAGAGGTAAATCCAGAGGGGAACCAGTTTTCTAAAGCATACTGTGAAAAGAAGTTCCTGAAGATCCTGTCTGTTTATGGTCCCTTCTCTTCCTCTCCTCTCCACTCTTCAAACAGGAGAGAAACCTAGATGTAGAGCAGGCATGGGCAAACTTTGGCCTTCCAGGTGTTTTGGACTTCAACCCCCTACAATTCCTAACAGCCTCAGGCCGCTTTGTTTTACTTTCCTTTTCCGCTTAAGAACTGAGGGGGGGGGGGCCTGAGGAACTGTGGGAGTTGGAGGCCAAAACACCTGGAGGGCCAAAGTTTGCCCATGCCTGGTGTAGAGCATCTCACTTGCATTTCTCATTTTTACTGCCTGCATTACATAAAGAGTGTTGTTCTCGGGAGAGAAAGAAGATTAAACATCTAATTTTCAAAATAGTCAATGTTACATATGTATTGGGGTGTTTGTATGGCTTCTGTAAGTTTGAGGGTTGAGAAAGGTGGGGTAGAAAGAAAGTAAATAAATAAATAAATACATTCTGGGCTAGCAGACAACTCAGTGATTCCGGCTGTGAAAGCCTTCAACAATAGACATATCCATTACCCCATTACCTCTCTGAAAGATCTTGCAACACAGCACGTTGCTTCCGAGGTAATGTTCTTCGGAACGGGCATTGTCTTCTTTGACCTCATCGGAGTGGGATAAGCCCTTGAGAAACAACATCCTACACACTGGTAAACCGGTCGTCCTTTAAACAGGCTTGTCATACGTATATTCAGGCTTAGTCTACATTCAGGGCAACCTATCAGACAAACAAAGAAAAAAAATATGCATACGAGTCCCATTATAAATTCTTGAGTATAGAAAATTTAAAATACATTGCCAGTTTTATGAATTGTTTTCACAACTGACATCGATTAGAAAAAAATGGTTTCCAGGAAATGAGATATGATATTTGATGTCTAAAAAGAGATTCGGAGTGGAGAAATACAGGTGACTATCATCAGCAGAAATATTATATTGAAAATCATATGAACTGATAAGATTATAGATACCGTATAAAAGAGAAACAAAGGGATTCGAAACAGAATGATGTGGATCCCCAACCAAAGGAGGAGAAAAGGAGAAGATACATAATTCCCAGCTGCCACATTAAATGCTTGCAGAGAAATCTAGGAAAATAAGGACTGAATATATACCCTTTGAATTAGCCTGAAGGAGATTACCTGTAATTTTTAAGAGATATTTCCACAGAGTGTACTTACTGACTAGTAAGTCCCTTTCAATGTTGTTTATTTCCAAAACTACAGATTATGTCACCCTTGTAAAGTTTTCAATACAGTAGGGCCTGAACACTCTATAAAGTCACCAGACTGCATGTGATCTTGGAAGCTAAGTAGTCCAAGCTCTGGTTAGGAATTGGATGAGAGACTGACAATGAATGCCAGGTGCTGTAGGCTATATTTCAGAGAAAGGAACTGGCAAACTGACCAAAGTATAGTATTCTGACTGAGAAAACCCCATTCATGGGGTTACCATTAAATTGATAGATGACTTGAAAACACAGACATATAATATGTTCTAGCATACTCCTAAATAGAGTTTACTTGAAAAAGTCATATAGAAACAGTTTAACTTAAAATATGCTTTGCCTCTTATATCAAAGAAAAAATGGCACGTTTATTTTATTCTAATTTTAGTTTACCATGCCATCCCATGTTATCTGACAGAGCAGCTTTAAGATCATAGTATATAGATGGTGATTTCACTGGTATATTTTATTTATGAAGATTTTTTACATCTACAATATGTATCACCTGCCTTGAAGTGTCAAAGCTCCTTACGACATCTTCTAGCATATGAATTCACTGTATATAAGCAATACTCCATTAAAAACCAGAAAACAAGCACAATCATTTTAATAACACCCTGCAATAATACTGTTCAGACTATTTTCCCCTTTAATTCCAAATATGAAAGGTATCTCACCCTGTGCCATAAAGTCTTCATCTGGCAAAGAATGGAGAATATTCAGAGATATGGACAACACGGCAAAAGTAACGGCTGCATATTTTGCATAGTAATCCATGACTCTTCTGCTAAGGACAGAAAACAAAAACACAGAGCATGCGTACTTTAACAAAAAAGGCCATTTTTGTTAATCTTCTACAGACTGAATATACTTTACCTGGAATTCTGAAATCCAAAATCTCAAATATTGTTTCTTTGGTTCTCATATACTATTTTTACAGACACACATTTTTTTGGACAATCCAATTCCAATTCTTTTCACCCCTTCCTTTCTAAGGGCGGTTCCAAAATACTAAGGACATTTTACTCTTTCACCAAAACTCAGCTTGAAGGGGAAAATATACAAGATACCAAAGAAATTAACATAGCCAAACAATTTTAACAAAAATAGTATTACCCTTTCTTTTTCTGTGCGAGACCAGTTGATTAAAGGTCTGAAAGAAGGCTGCAGCTTGCCTGTCAGTGCAGAGATGGAATAAACACTGTGCTTTTCTTTTATATAGGCAAAATCAGCCTATCTTCCACCTGGATTTAAGCCAGTGGATCAAGTGTAATTTCTTCTCATTGGCTAACTATTGCTTGATGTAATTAGTATTCCACCGTACTGATGTTATCTCTCCTTGACTCTTAAACAGATTCACTTTTTGCATTGTAATATTAAAGTAAGGTCAGACTGTAGGCGCATGGATCAGTGATGTTTACCATTTAGTCTTCTCTTGCGTTATCAACTATAGTTTATGGCCTTTACCAGTAATTGGGGCCATTCAATAACAACAACAAATACTGCGAACACCACAACCAGATTTTCTGTCACTTTTAAAATGAGTCAAAATTTCTCTTATTTTTTGTCGTCCTTCTCTTTTTGGTCCCTACAATCTTTCTGGTCCCTTTAATAACAGGTATCATATGAATAGAAAACTGGAAAATACAAAATAGGAAAAATAAATATCAGTAATCCAACTCATCAGCAAACAAATTATTTAAAAAAACAGTAGGCAAAAACAAATGGTGGACTTGTATTAGGAAAATTGTGGCACCCAGCAGAACTGATCTTGCAGTCCTCTGTGTATCCCCAAAACTATCTCTGAAGGCTGAAAAAAAAACAATCCTGTACTTACTTTCTGGGTGATGTGGAATGCTTTGGGGATGTGCGCTCAAATTTTCTGCCTGAAAAACTTTGGAACTTGCTCAATCGAGGTTCACACCACTCCTTTCCTACATGCCTTATTTCTGAACCTGCAACTTTTTCTTCTCATGTTTCTTTGTGCTAGCCTTTCTTTACTTTGGAATGATCTCAATTCATGCCATGCTTCCCGAGGCAGAATCCATATCAAAAGGTGTTCTGCAGCATCCTTGGCACCCCACAAGAGTAAGGTGTTTCTAAATATCCGGTGGGTGATTGGAGTGATCCAATGCCTTCAAGAGCATCACTACCAACAGATCCAGAGAGCTCACCTTCTTTGTCTAGAGATGGAAAGCAAGCCATATTACAGACATAGGGATCCCAAACATCTACCTGGGTATCTACCAGGTAAAGAAGTACCAATCTGATCATGTTACTCATAATTAAAGTTGTCCCACTCAGCTTATAACTTGAAAGTTAAAAGCATCTAGTTCTGAGTGAATGTTTATTAGAACACCATTATAAGTGGTTAGTGGTTATGTTCCCCAAATGTTGTTACATATTAACTGGAAGAAAGTATGAATTTATTTTTACATCTTTTATCATTTTCTCCATTTTATTAAAAAAAACCATCTGTGCGATTTAGGGTTTTATTACATATTTTGTTTCCCATGTGATAGATTTCAGTCTTCCCCTATTTGTGTATATAACACCCCGTACAAATCAGTAACAAGAACTACACAGGTAGTTTCTAATCGGAAACAGAGCAGCATGAGACTCTTCCTTGCTCTCAAGGCTTCTAGCTATTAATGAAGCAGAAAAAGCAATATATAGAGGGGTGTGTGTGTCTGCTGAAAAAATAGAACAGCAGACTATGGTATTTATATGTTGTATCTGGATTTTTTGTACTTTTCCTGGATATTATATAGATGCAAGCTATTTTTTTAAAGAAAAAAAGTTAAAGACGCCTGGAAGAAAGAGATTCCATTAAAAGATAGAAGTCTGCTCCAGCTGATCATTTCCTGGCAAGTATTTATTTTAACAGGACATGGAAAACAGTAGTCCAGTAAGCACATTTCTGGAATCCGAGCTCAGCATTGTATGCACGGAAGAGTATAACAATGAAAAGTGACAATCTGCCCATTTTCTTACTTGATTTTTAAAAAACCCTCAATTTCTTTCTGTCTTAAAAGTGTCTCTGCATATTTCGTATACTATCTTGTCAAGGATCTAAAGCAAAATCAAATGTGGTGTCCGCACACTGCTGCCTTGCATTCTCTGCATTGATACCGAGACCAAGAGCTGCAGGTTGGGAGAGAGCAAGCTTCACTGAGGACAGGAAAGTAGTCAGAGCAGTCAGGAATGAGGAAGACAACAGAAAAGGCAGACAGTGAGGAACAGGAAAAGATCTAGGGAAAGGAGAAAATGAAGGAACCACAAGAAGTGAAGAGAAGAATGTTAAAAGGAGAAGCAGGAGGAAGAGAACAATTACAGATACATGCAAGCAGCCATATAAAACAATGGTGGTCGCTGTTAAGAAACCTCCAGATACTTCTCATCTCCTTCTCCATTTCTAGAAACTTTAAGAGTTTTGTTTACTTTGCATATAAAGGCAGTGTGTGCACTGATTCCAAGCCAAAAAATAAAGTGATTCCCCTTCATAAGGTTCCCTACTTCCTTCCTTTAGGCTATTTACTGGTTCTTTGTCCTCCTGTTCTTGGGAATTATTTTGTCTAGGAAATATCTTTTGACCAAAAATGGGCAACAGCAACAGCATTGTCTTTAGCCTCCAACAATTCCTCCTCTGTACATGAGGCAGAGCACAATGGACAAGCATACTGATGCAGAGTTGTCTGTTCTGCTCCACAGTCACACAAGGTATGGGATTCTTTTAGGGAGTGCCATTTTGCCAGGTTGTCTTTTGATCTGCCCACTCCACTTCTGAGTCTGCTCAGGGACTTCCAAGTTGCCCATTCTTGGTTTGCCCCGGGAGGAAGACCTCGTGGGGGGCTATCCAGTTGGGATTTCCTGATTTAACTGCCCAGAGGGATACCCTTGCTGTTGCTGGGGGGACGCCAAGAGGAGTGGAAATTCTCATAAAACTTTTCCTTGATGTAAGTCTACTGAGAGGAGGCTGGTAGCCATGTAGTGGGTGGCTTTCACAGTGTTCAACCTTATTTCTCTCACATTTAGCAGCAACTTCCCGTCACACATTGGGGGGGGGGCAATGCCAGCTAGCTTGTAGAGTTTATCAACAGGTGTAGGTTTAAGACACCCTGTGATGCTTCTGCATGTTTCATTCAATGCTGTGTTCACCTGCTTGTGCCAAAGAGGGCAGGCCTACTCAGCAATTGAGTAAGCCCAGGCCATTTGGGGTCTGCCCCCCATGTGCTGCCAGTAAGTTTTCGCAGTGAGGCCCTCGGCTCCCCACGAGGCAGGGATGAAGGCGGGTGGTGGTCTCCTCCCCCTCCTCCCCCTCCTCCTCCTCCTCCTTTCTGCACTTGGGTTCGGAAGCCCCCTCCCTTTCTCCTCCGGCATGTGGCCGGCAGACAGGTAGCCTAACTCTTGTGCGTGTGCCGGGGAGGGGAAGGGAAGGGAAGGGAAGGGAGGGGGGCGCACTGCCACGATGTCTCCCACCGCCAGCTCGTTGCAGGGGAAGGGGAGGGAGGCAGCAGCGTTGCTGATGGTGGTGGGCAGAGGGGGGGCGCGTATGGGAGGGAGGGAGCGCGCGGGTGCGCCAGTGACTGACAAGCGGGAGGACAGGCACGCGCAAGAGAGAGAGAGAGAGAGAGATGGTGGGAAGGAAGAAGGGAAGGGAGGGAAAGGCAGGAGGGAGCGTACCTGCCTGCGGTGCGTGGGGCTCCTTTCCTCTGCCGCCCGGTGCCTTCGCGCTCGTCCCGTTCTAGCCTCCGCACCCGTCACAGGCGTCCCTTTAAAGGAGGGAGTGGGTGGTGTGGGGCTAGGCGGCGATGTGTCCTGGTGCGTGGTTCCTGGGGCACGGGGCCGGGCCACACGTGAAAGGAACGTGCTGCTGGCGTGTGCCTCCGGGAGCTGCTGGGGGGCCCTCCCCTCCCCCTCCTCCTCCCCACACCTTCTCCCCGTGCCGACCAAGCCTCCCCGCTCCCCTCGCCAAGAAGCAGCGGCAGCGCCATGGGGACTGCCATGCTTCCTCACTGTGAAGCCACGCGGACCACCACCGGAGCCCCTTCCCACCTCTAGAGCGCCCGGAAGGCCTCTTCCCCTCCCTCCCTCTCCCCGGCCAGCCAGTTGCAGATGTCATCGCTGTATTCACACCTCCTCCTCCTCCTCCTTCGCCCGTGGCTGGGGGGGCGGGGGGGGGGGGAACCCGCGAAACAGCCAGTCCACAATAAGCGAACCGCGAAGTAGCAGAGGAGCACTGTATATTCCGGCATATAAAACGACTGGGTGTATAAGACGACCCCCAATTTTTTCAGTTAAAATATAGAGTTTGGGATATACTCGCCGTATAAGACCACCCCTCTTCCAATGCACACTAAATAAAAAAAATTAAAAATCAGATTTGAATTCAAGATGGTAATTTTAATTCAAATGCTTATGACATGCAGGTTCCCATGAGAGGGACATTGTACCTTACATTGTACATTACATTTGCTCTTTCTCCCTTGAATTTCATTTATACTCTGGGTCCTTTACATCATGCTGGCAATAAGTTAAAATAAACTGTTGCATGAAATAATTCTCATTTAAAGCAATTATAAAAACCAGCCAAGGTAAAGTGTCATATCAGTTCCCTTTTGCCTTTTCTCAGGCTTCTCCTATTGACACAGCCTAAAACAGCATTGGCCTTTTTAGCTGCAGCATCATACTACTGGCTCATGTTCGACAAAGATTCCTTTCACAGAATCCTAAAGTTGGGAGGGACCTCTAAAGGCCATTTAGTCCAACCCCCTTCATTCTGCCTTCTTGCGGGGAAAGCACAATCAAAGCACTCTCGACAAATGGCTATCTAGTCTTATTAATATTAATAATGGCGTTGGAAGGGAGCTCTAAAGGCCATCTAGTCCAACCCCCTTCATTCTGCCTTCATACAGGGAAAGCACACTCAAAGCAGCCCTGACAGATGGCCACCCAGCCTCAATAACAACAACAATAACATTAATACTAATAAAAGTTGGAAGATATCCTTTAGGCCAGTGGTTCTCAACCTTTCTAATGCCGTGACCCTTAAATAAAGTTCCTCATGTTGTTGTGACCCCCCAACCACATTTTCGTTGCTACTTCATAACAGTAATTTTGCTACTGTTATGAAATGTAATGTAAATGTCTGATATGAAGGATGTATTTTCATTGTTACAAATTGAACATAATTAAAGCATAGTGATTAATCACAAAAACAATATGTTTGGGGGAGTGTGGGCAACGGATGATGGGATGTGAAGTACCTTCAACCGATGCAGCTCTGACTTCCAGAGACCACTGAGACACCCCCCCCCCCCCCCCGAAATACAGACCAGGACCAAACTTGGCACACAGAACCCTAATGACCAATAGAAAATACTGGAGGGGGTTGGGAGGAATTGATAGTGAATTATGGGAGAGGTAGTTCACCTACATCCAGAGAGCACTGTGAACCCAAATTACTATGGATCTGGACAGAACTTGGCACAAATACTCAGTATGCCCAAATCTGAAGACTGGTGGAGTTTGGGGGAAATAGACCTTGGCGTTTGGGAGTTGTTGGGATGTATAGTTCCCCAGCCATCAAAGAGCATTCTGAACTCCAACAATTAAATTGGACCAAACTTGGCCTGCAGGACTCTCACGACCAACAGAAAACACTGGAGAGATTTTGGGAAAATAGACCTTGGCATTTGGGACTTGGGGTGTTTAGTTCCCCAGCCATCAAAGAGCATTCTGAAATCCAACCACAATTAAATTGGACCAAACTTGAGTTGTGTGGAAGGGGCCTGGGTTATCTGAGGCCCCTTCCATACAGCTGCATAAAATACACATTGAAGTGGATTATCTGGCTGTGTGGACTCAGATAATCCAGTTCAAAGCAGATAATGTGGGATTTCATTCAGCTGTGTGGAAAGGGACTGGGTTATCTGGGGCTCCATCCATACAGCTGCATAAAATACACATTGAAGTGGATTATCTGGCAGTGTGGCCTCAGATAATCCAGTTCAAAGCAGATAATGTGGGATTTCATTCAGCTGTGTGGAAGGGGCCTGGGTTCTCTGGGTCCCCTTCCATACAGCTGCATAAAATACACACTGAAGTGGATTATCTGGCTGTGTGGACACAGATAATCCAGTTCAAAGCAGACAATGTGGGATTTCATTCAGCTGTGTGGAAGGGGACTGGGTTATCTGGGTCCCTGTTCCTTCGCTCTTTCGCTTGCCTTGCAACCTCTTCTCTTCCCTTCAGTCTCCTCTCACGCTGTTGCTTTCCCCATTCACCTCGCGCGGAGGCCATTGGCGAGAGCGCGAGGCAGGCGACAAGGGGCTTCTGGGACGGCAGGCGTCGCGCGGAGGCCTCCTGGCCTGCCTCGCTCTCTCGCCGATGGCGACGGTGCAAAGCAGGCCAGGAGGCCTCCGCGCGAGGCCTGGCATCGCGGAAGCTCTCCTCGCCTGCCTCGTTCTCTCGCCGATGGCCATTGGCGAGAGAGCGGGGCGGGCGAGGAGGGCTTACACAACGCCAGGCCTCGCGCGGAGGCCTCCTCGCCTACCTTGCACCCTCGCTATCGGCGAGAGAGCGGGGCAGGCGAAGGGCCAGACGCTCCATTGGCCTCAATTGGGTCCAGGAAGGAGAGAGGAAGCGTGAGGAAGGCGGCCCTCCGGCCTCCTTCCTCATGCTGCCTCTTTCCTCACTGGGCCCAGCTGGGGCCCAACGGAGCGTCTGGCCCACGCCGCGCTGCTGCAGGAGCCTGTAGACATGCTGGAAGCCTCTCCGGAAGCAGCAGGGGTGAGCGCGCTCACCAGCGCAGGTCTCCCTCCTCCGTCCTCGCCCCGCAGATGCCTTCCTCGGCAGGCGCACACGGGATGAGAGAGGAGGGAAAGGTGTGCACCAGCTGCAGAAGACAGCGCAGGGTGCATCTTTCCCTCCTCTCCCATCCCGTGTGCACCTCCACCGCCGAGGAAGGCATCTGCGGGGCGAGGACAGAGGAGGGAAAGGTGCCAGACGCTCCGTTGGGCCCCAGCTGGGCCCAGTGAGGAAAGAGGCAGCGTGAGGAAGGAGGCCGGAGGGCAGGCCGCTGCGGGCGGATGTTCTCCTCCGCTGCCTCGGCTCCACTGCCATTCGTCATCTAATATGTCCGGAAGACAAGACGACCCCCAAGTTTTCAAAGGATTTTAAAGGTTTAAAAAGTCGTCTATTACCCCGGTTTTTACGGTATATAAAAAAGGTTTTCATGCGATACGGGCCCGTAGCCAGGATTTTGTTTTGGGGGGAGGCTGAATTTTTTTCGGGGGGGGGGGGGGGCTGAGTCTGAGTGAAAGAGGGTCTACCCTAGCAAACCTTTTGTATCGTTACCCCAATACCCCCATGCATATGGGATATATTGAGCATGGTGATCAGATCATGATATGAATAAACCTAACAGTTTAAATAATGCACCAGTAAGGCCTTCTCGCGGGCCACCATCAGAATTTCGGGGGAGGGCTGAAGCCCCTCAACCCCCCCCCCCAGCTACATGCCTGATGAGATAGGTTGTGTCCCCATAGACCAGTGGTTCTCAACCTTTCTAATGTCCTGACTCCTAAATAAAGTTCCTCATGTTCTGGTGACCCCCAACCATATTTTCGTTGCTACTAAATAAATAATTTTGCTACTCTTATGAATTATAATGCGCATATCTAATATGCAGGATGTCTTTTCATTGTTACAAATTGAACATAATTAAAGCATAGTGATAAATCCCAAAAACAATATGTTTGGGGGAGTATGGACAACAGCTGATGGGATTTGCAGTACCTTCAACCCATTCAGCTCTGACTTCCACAGACCACTGAGATCCCCCGCGAATTACAGACCTGGACCAAACTTGGCACACAGAACTCCCATGACCAACAGAAAATACTGGAAGAGGTTGGGAGGAATTGACAGTGATTTATGGGAGATGTAGTTCACCTACATCCTGAAAGCACTGTGAACCCAAACAACTATGGATCTGGACCAATTGTTGTTTGTTCATTCAGTCACTTCTGACTCTTCGTGACCTCATGGACCACCATTCTGAACTCCAACAAAAATAGAATTGAACAAGCTTGGCACACAGAACTCCCATAACCACCAGAAATTACTGGAGAGTTTTGGGGTTATTTTGCTGAGGGTTGTTGGGATGTATAGTTCCCCTGCCATCAAAGAGCATTCTGAACTCATGCAACCATGGAATTGATTCAAACTTGGCATACAGAACTCCCATGATCAACAGAAAATACTGGAGAGGCTTGGGGAAAATAGACCTTGACATTTGGGAGTTGCTGGGATATATAGTTTCTCTGTATCAAAGAGCATTCTGAACTCATGCAACCATGGAATTGACTCAAAATTGGCACACGGACCCCCGTGGCCAGCAAAAAATACTGGAGGTATTTAGGGGAAATTTACCTTGATTTGAAGGAGTTGTAGTTGACCTACATCCAAAGAACATTGTGAACCCAAACACCAATGGATCTGGACAAAACTTGGAACACATACCTGATATGCCAACACTGGCTTACTGGAGAGCTTTGGGATGAACTGACCTTTCTTTCTGGGAGTTGTAGTTCACCCACAAACAGAGAAACTGATCTCCACCGATGATGAAGAGCTCGGCAGGGGGTGAGGGCTGGGCAGCAAAGGTTCCCCAGACTGCCTGGCCATGTGGAGCCCTCTGCCCAGTTCAGAAAGGGGCGAGGGCCAGGCAGAAAATGTCAGAAGGGCACGGGGGGCAGGCGAAGGGCTCCTCACACTGCCTTGCCTTTTGGGCAGCCTTTTCTGTCCGGCCCTCACCCCTTTCCGAGCTAAGAAGGGCACAGTGGCCAGGCGAAGGGCTCCCCACACTGCCTTGCCTTTTGGGCAGC